GCTCTTCTCATTCTGCTGAACAGGTCTTTCTCAAGCACCCAGTATAATATGACTCTTCTGCCATTCAGTTTATTGAATGTAGACTGTGTCAGGCAGGGTTCTGAGAGTCACCCCAGAAAACAAACCAGCTGAAGATCTGTCTCCCAGGTCTTGTGTTCTGACTCAAGCCTCTTCATTAAAACTGTGATACTTCAAGGCACTAGCTGATCCGGTACCTGGGGACGTGGACAGAGCCGCATGAAGGCAGACAAGCACTTGGCAACAGATTCCTGTGGGATGCGCCCTGTGACTCAGTGGCACAGAAACTGCCATCATGAGCAGAGAGGGCCCAGGAGGCTGCAACGTGAAAGGAGTCATGGAGGCACCTTGCTACAAGACTTTGAAAGAAGAAAAGAATTCAGAACCCATATGAGTGCAGCAGTGCACCTACACATTGACACCAAGACTGCTGTGTTTGGATTTGTGCAGCTCATTTATCCCTATACATTTGTGCTGATGTCATTTTAACAGCTGTGCCTTATCCAGTAAACAACTTTTGCACAGTCTTATGTTTGAGGAGTGTTGTCCATAGCTTTCTCCCTTTTAGACTTAGAAATAATAGATTATATTTGAGGAGTGAGCAACTAATTGAAAATCCAGTTTATTCCAAGGCATATGGTACAAAAGCAGATGTATCTCCGCAGCTCTAGCTGGTAGGTGTGATTGAATGAGCATATGTACTTGCGTAATTGTCTCTTATCATTGCCACTAAGAGCGCGTCTGTCTTTGAAAATATCTGAGAAGGAAGAGGTCAGGGGTGCAGGTGGGAGGAAGGGAAAACGCTGAATCCTGAACCTGAGAGCCGGGCTGCTGGTTCCCCTGTTCATTTTCAGCCACACCACTCTCTTACAGCTCAGATAAGGAGCCGTGACTCACTTGAAGAAGCACAGAAACCTTTGCAGAATTGCAGTCATTATCTGCCCAGCTGTTTCATCTTGACACTTCACATGGAGCCATGATTTAAGTCTGCCAAGAACTGAAGAAGCAATTTGAGTGTGGTTTTTAATACTTAGGCAAAACATGCTTTTTTTCTGACCCAAATTTTCAGAAAGGAGCTGAAAAAACTCACATGATCATCACAATAGATGCAGAAAAAGCATCCCACAGAATCAACACTCTTTCTGGTAAAAGCACTCATCAACCTAAGAATAAAAGGAAAGTTCCACAGTCATGTGGTGCTGGCACAAAGACCAACATGCAGACCAAGGGAAGAGAGACCCAGGTACACTGGGCAAGTGATTTCTGACAAGAATGCTGAGGCCTTGCAATGTGACGGGAACATATTGTCAACCTTCACCACCGTGTGCATAAATAACGGAGCAAAGCTAGACCCTTCCCTAACATCAAGTACAGGAATTACCTTGGTCCTTTTTCTTGAATATGGAGGTGTGAAAGGAGGCACCCAAAGGTCTGCAGGTAGCTCATACATCTGGGAGTTCCCCATCTAGGAGGAGGAGCTGCAGGAGCACTTTTAGAACAATCCTGCTGCATTCTGGAAGACTAGGCCCCTGGCCTGAACCCAGTTTCTCAACAGCACAGAAGAGGGCATCCCAAATCGAGCAGGGCTGAGGTTTTCCATCCTTCCCATCTGCTTTCTCATGTTTCCTCCTGTAAATATTTCCTATTCTATTTTCATGTTCTCACCTTCTGCTTCTCTTCCAATTTATGCCACTCCTATCTTCCCATTGTATTCCATCTTACTTTCTTCATTCATCATAAAGCATCTACCTGCACACTCTTTCTGATTACGCCCTTACTACTGCTGTTCCCAGCCCACAGTTTGGTGCCCCACCCATAGCGTTTTGTGTGTCACTGAGATATTCTTCCTAACAAATTGGATAGCGTATACTAAAATTAGAAAGTTTGGTAAATTATATCTGCTGAAATATTTTTCCTTTCTGCTTGTCAAGTTTCTCTCGTTAACAAATCTCAAAATGTGGTCTTCAGACCACGGACAGGAACAGTATCGGGGGACTTGTAGGAAATGAGGTTCCTGTACCTCATCCCGGAGCTCCTGGATCAGAACCCGGGGTGAGGTCCAGCTGTCGGTGTTCTCACAAACCCTCCAGGAGATTCCAGTACACGGTAAAGTTCGGGAACCGTAGGTCTGGATTATTTACCTCCTGCCCCCAAATTGATTTTATGTTCCTAAAAGATTTCTTAGGGGAATGAGGTTATGGGAAAAGCACTTCCCCTTGAACTTGAATAGCTGTGCTCCCATGCATGACGCCTGCGAAACTACGCCTGCCCACTGGCCTCACCCAATTCCAGGCAAGAGCATGCTATTTTCATAAGCTGCAGCTGGTAGCAGCTCGGGACGCTTTGCAGCTCCTGCTCCTGGCAACAGCAATGGTTTTCCAGCCCATGCTGCCATTGCCTGCCATGACTTCTAGGAGGAAAAGAGATTTTCTTTATAAAAGAAGACTAGCCCTCAAGATCAAGCATTTACACAGGCTTTCACTAACTACTACCTGCACCCCGGCCTCCCTTCTGTCTGTCTCTCACAGCTGCTTTCCTGTTCTGGCGGCTCCGGCTCTGGGAAGCGTCCTTTGCTTCACCCATTCCTGGCTTTCCCTGTTTGTTCACGCTCCTGAAATCAGATCTTTATCAACCCAGTGTCAGGTGACTTTTACTGTTTTCTAGCCCTCTCCTTGGCGCTGTCTCTCTCTCGATCCCCTTATGACAGATAGATTAATGTTCCTGAAATAATAATGTCTGGTTGTCACTCGTGAAGACTGGTGCTCAGCAAGTCCATTTATTTAAAGCCTGTTCTTCCTCCACACCGAACTCCGGCTTCCCCTGCATGTACCAGGTCAGCGTGCTCCTGCCAGACCACACATCCCACGGCCACCTAGTCACCACCTCAGCCACACCCTTCCTTCGATGGCTAGCATGCACCGTCACCTTCCCTTTCCCTGTCATCCCGGCAGTGTGTTCTTCAGGACTTTGTATTCTTGATGCCTGTGTAATGTTCCTTGAGCCAAGGGAAAAATAACCCAAGTACTAAGTAGTTGAGGAATTTTCAACATGTCTGTATTTTAATATGTTTTATTTGTAGAGGTGTGATAGTCTTCTAAGTGTAAAAAAACAAATCTGGGATAAATAATATTCCTCATTATTTTTACCGTTGTGTCATTACAAGTATTAACAAAACATTTTTAACACAAACACAGCTCAGCTTGCTTCTGAGAGCTTTTGTAAAAATTCAAATTTGTGAAGCCCTTCTCTTTGATATAAAAGGCTTTTAATGTCACAGATTTTCTTGTGTTTTAGACATCAAACAAAACTCAATAACATAGTAAAAGCCTAAAACACACTATATTTTATTTTTGCCATAATTCCTCCCCCAGATACCAGTGGATAATTGAGATAATTCTACGAGTGTATGCAAATATTTAGATTTGAAAAAAATAAGATTTTTTCAGCACTAATTTTATTATGGCACATTATTAATTAAGCTTACTTTTCCCTTAAGCTATCAAAATTGTTATAAGCACTACTAAAAGTCATGTTAATATTAATGCTATTTTAGTAGCTAATATTAATTTAATAACCAAACTAACAACACTAAAAAATAAAAGAAGAAAAATATTACAGTCTCTCTAATTCAGAATACACATATCATTTGGCCAAAAGCCTGTATTATAGTTTATTTTTAAGGGAAATACAGTTTTATCATTTTTAAGACTATTACAGAATCTCAGAAATGCCTTATAATTTGTAGTGGGATACTATTTTAATGAAATGGTAAATATTATTTCTAATTGTTTCCCTTGTTGAAAAATTTCTATCATTTCTTTTTTTCTCATTCAATTTCCATAGATTTTTTCTTAATATATACATTTCTGTTTGAAAGCTCTAAATGTGTTCATTTTAATTGACAAGTGAGAAGAGTATGTATTTATGGCGCTTCGACATGCTCATATGTTGTGGAAGGACTACCTCAAGCTGCTTCACGTGTGTGTCACCTGACATACTTACTGTGTGTGTTGTGAGAACACGAGAAGCTAGTGCCCTAGCAGTTCTCACACATACACTACATTGTTAAAGGCCTTGATGCAAAGTACATTCCTTGAACTTACTCCTCTTGACGAACTGAAATTATGTCCTTTAGCTAAGATCTCCCCCACTTCCCAAACCTGGCCACTGAGAACCATCGTTTCTAATTGAAATAGCCCCACTATTTCTAGAATGTTTCCAGTTGTTCTTCTAAATCAGAACACCGACCTTGTTCACATCACTCGTGTGTTTGGCACACTCTGTCAGTGACGGACGAAGCATTTATTGAAGCTTCTTATGTATAATAATGCTTAGAGAAGCCTCATTTTCACACATCGATGTAATTTCTCTAAGTGTGATCAATCACTGGCTCCAGCGCTTTTAGGGTCACAATCCCAAGGGGTCCCATGCAGTTCACTCCCATGAACAGGCTCCTCCTGCCCTGTCCCGCTTCATGTCCTCACCTTGCCCCCAGCATGGACAAGCAGCGTGCAGCCCCCAGGTAGCCGGATTCCTTCTCAGTGCACGCAGCGGGACAGGGCATGCCTCTGCCTTGGGGACCATCTTGGCCAGCTCCACGACGCTCTTCAGAGTCGTCTCCTCCAGGTCCCTTGTTGTAGTGTCTGCGAGGACTTGCATGAGAAGGCATTGAGAGATGGATGGCGAGATGGGGGAAGAAGGGGCGGGGAGGGGCAGAAGACAGGAGTGAGGATGTGTCGTGTACACACGCCGGTTCCACACAGGAGTGTGATCGTTATGCACTGCACACGTGCACTAACTAAAACAAAGATAAATCTAAAAGAAATGAGTAAATTCTTACTCTGTACCTTCAATAGGAGAAGATTATTTAAAAAGCATATTTGCTCTGATACACACACACACACACACTTTCTGGATATTCTCTGGTAGTTGGTACTTACACAACTTTCACAGCTAAACACCAATTTTATGCTTTTCCTTAGGTGGTTTGCTCTGTTGGAGATTCAAATATGTATTATTTTAATACTTTATAAGTATGATTGTAGTCTTCTGGACCCATTACCAAAGCAGGTAAGTATTTCAGAATTTTGAATATCATGATAACTTTCAGATTTGATATGACCTCTGACTCCTTCATTTTCATTGCTGGAGATGAGCTAACGACTCTCTCACTTGGGCCTGAGCTCGGTGGAATCAGGCTGAGAACATTCCTGGTCTCCTTCATTCAGGGTCTCCTTATTGTGCCACAGTGCTACATGGCCAGGACCAAATATCAGTGTTTCTGCAACTACCAGTGTGAGGGCCTCCTCGCTGGCCTTCCCAGATTTGACTCTTTTTCCTGGGCTAAACAAACATGGCCTTAGCTTTGACCTTGTATCCCCAGAAAGGGAAGTGTTCTCTAGGTCTGAAAGTAGCCAGGCATTTTGGATGCATGTCATATCCTTGGTCCACTAGGAAAGCAGTGTCGTAGGAAAAAAACTGCCCCAGGGGAAACAGAAAGCAGAAAACGCAGTGGGAAAGGCCATCACTTTACCCCTAGTGGCGGCATGGAATACTGCAATCATTTATCTCCACAGTGGATCTGTTCTAGGCTGTCAGTGGCCCTCAAACCGGCCTGAGCATCAGAGCCACCTGGGGGCTAGTGAAGGAAGAGCACAGGTTGAAACTAAAAAATAAGCACTGCAGTCTTGAGACTGTTCATGGAACATTTTGATTTAATGTTGCAGCACGTCAGTCTCATAAGACAAACGTATGGAGGGATCTATGTGTGTGTGATAAAGAAACTATATTACAGACATGAACCTGTCAACAATTTCCATTGATTTCTTTTGTACTTCTGGTTTGAGCTTAACCATGAATGCTAAGGAGCTCTCCAAATCTTGGCATGTAGGAGCTCCCAAAGCACCCTTCCCCAGGGCTCTCAGCTGCCTGCTGTGTTGTGGGCAACATGCAGATCAGAGTCAAAGTTTATAGACCTCACACACTAGCTCTCTGGTCTACCAAGTTAGATGCCACAATTTTTCCCAGAATTGACTCAGCATTCAGCTATTCCCTGGCCACCAAGAAGACCCAGAAATGTTTGCCTATTCCTATGTGATGACATCAGTGAAAATGATGGAGATCAGTAATTGTGATCAGCTCCCATAGGCAAGAATATTCCTAGCACTTTCTTCCTGACAAAAGATTCCATCCCCTACATTTAATTTCTATTACTGTTTTGTGTACCTCTTATTTTGCTTTGACACCAATCAGAACATTGTTTAAGGAAATGTTATCTCAGTTTGTAAAATGTACACATCTGAGTAAATTCCCATGATCTCAAAGAGCACTTTATTTCACAATCCTTATTTTAGAAACTATTCGAGTTGCTTTAATACGTTACAAAATGAAGTGGTCAGAAATTGAGGAAATGACTTTCAGATTATAGCCTCTCCCGGAAGGGTGTGTTCTGAACACAATGTCCACTGCAGGGCAATCAGGGATTGTGGAACCTGCTCTTTACAAGAATTTACCTGCCAGCGTAGCAAAAATCAAACATTAGAACCCCCAGTTTTAATTTTCAAGTAGCCCAGAGTTTTATTTTAGGTGCTGGGGATCAAATCCAGGGCCACATGCATGCTAGTCAAGCACTCTACTACTGAGCTATCCCCAGGCCCCAATGCTTTATTTTACTCAAAAAGTATTAATAAATTAATTTCACTTCAATTCCCTCCCACTAGGAAGCAATCAGGAGACACTACAAAGCGTTGAGAATCCTGGCTGGCAGGAGAGTCCTGTTCCCGGAATGGGTATGCAGGTCCTTAGAGTGCTCCTGAAACAGCTTGTAGCACACTGTAGCTCATGCAGTGGGCTTGCACTTGTTCAGTTGTGTTCCATTTTCACTTTCTTTTGGGCCGTGGATCCTCAGGAAATCTCAGCATTTAAAGATCCTTTTCTAGAAAAGTACATATTTCTTAATATATGGTTGTGGGTCCAGTCTGAGTGGCCCCATGGGAACCCTGCCGCTCATTTCTTCAGCCTCCCCAGTTCTCCTGCTAAGGAGTCAGGTGGGGCCCTGCCACCTTCAGACGTGGAAACGGACTGATCATCGACCTTGAATGTGTCCCCACTGTTCCCCCACAGAATGGGTTGCTTTTCTTTTTCAATCCCCTTATCCTTACAAAAAAATTGCATTCTTTATAATACTCCTTCCCCCACCCCCACAAAGACTCACACCTTGTTCATGGCTAGGGAGAAAAGTCACATTTGAAACCAAAAAAGAAAATGTGTTTTTGGAAAATCAGGATCACAAGTACACTGTGCCAGTGTTTCACACCTCCGACTCCAGGTGGCTCTTAAACACCTATGACATGTGAGATTGTGACCTCAGCCCCTGCTCACAAGGGAGGTGTCACAGCCTTGGAGCCAGGAATGCAGAAAGGCCTGATTTACCGTGTCCTCTTTATTCAGATAAAGAGAACACAACAGTGCAGGTGTGTCCAGGAAGAGACTGTTAGAATCAGATACAGTACTTTCTCCTCCTTTTCCGTCCTGAATAGAGCCAGAGTGCATGCTCTGTTCTCAGAGTGCTTTTCGGTTCTCATCCATGCAGATGCTTCCAGAACCCCGCACCCTGTACTTTCTAGAGAAAATTGCAGGTGAATGAACCGATGTCTAGAACAGTTGGCTTATGTCGCTTAATGTCTATCTCTCTTCTGCCTTTCTGCTTTTAGAGTCATCTCCACGTGGTGGGTGTCCCCCAGCCAGAAGGACAGTGCCGAATTGAATATAAACAGAGACGTGACGTTTGCCAGGACCCAAGAGAGCCAGGGCCTTCTGGAGGAGCCACGCCACCAGCCACTCACCTGGCGTCTGGCCAGCACAAGGGGTGATGTCACCCCACACACACTAACCTGACCCATAACAGCCATTCAGAATAACAAAGTTACTGATTTCTAGAAACTTCTTTTGTTTACATCTCTCTTAGTTACCTTTCTCTTGCTGAGACAAAATACCTGACACCCAAAATTAAGGAAGGAAAGGTTTATTTAGCTCCAGTCTGTGGAGGTTTCAGCCCATAATCAGCTGGCTCCAAGGCAGATTGGCATGGCACAGGGCCAACAGTTCAAGGCAGCAGAAGACAGCAAAAGCAGGAAGAGCAAAAGAGCAGAAGAGCAAGCCTCTTTCCCTGCCTTATATTGTAAGCAGGCTACCCCCATCTGCACCTCCAAGGGCAGGTGTAGCACTTCTACCATCTCCGTGCCCTCTTGCACAGGATTAGGACTTTTACAAAGTAAGGACCCTAGCTCCCCCTTAGTTAACCTTCTAAACTTCTCAAGTTGACACAATGTATCAACCATTATAATCTCTTAACTAGTAATTGGAACTCTTAAGCTCTGTTAATACTTTATTGTAACATGCCCTAAGTTAAAAGTATAAATAAAGTAGTTTTCTAAAACCTATGAGGAAAGCATCATGCCTTACATTTCTCCATCTTTTACACGCAGGACAGCATCTCCTCTATAACAAATATTTAATAAATGCGTGTTGGTTGATGTGTTTATGCATATTTTAGTAAAAGTAGAAGCACTGGTGACTCTAGGTGTTTGAAGTTAATGTGACGGAGTTAATACCATGTGTTTGCTAATGCATGGAAGCACAAATGCTGTACTGCCCTAAGGCAGATAACTGTATTTAAGAATTACAACTGAAATATTTGCCATGAAACCCATAGAACGATCTCAGCCATGTATGTGCAGGGGAAACGCATGACAGTAATGACAGTGTATGGTGATGTCAGGATTTACTCACCACTGTTTGCCAAGCACTTCCCATTGCCTCCCGAATTTCCCAGGAAGTGTTCTGTGTGGTCCTCAGGCTCATGCCTGCCTCTGCTGGAATCATCTCTCAGGGTCAGTAATGACTGCCTAGTTACACATTTCCCACACAAGCTCACAACTCCTTAGAAGAGTCAGGCTGTGCGTGGTATTCAGGCTGATGTGAGGAGTTTGAAACTTGGCTGGCAGCTCATAGCTTCGCTTAGCAGCAGACTCGGGACTGGAGTCAAAGGAGCTGAGAATAGCGGTTTAGAATCCAGCAGAGCTCCGAGCTCTGGACAGCGGCCTGGCCCATGTGGGAACTGTGTGAGATCCGCACCCACTAAGCTGCAGTCACTCAGGGCCACTGTGTACCTGCTCCTTCTGCTTGGTGAGTTGAATGGTAGCTTCAAGTCTGTGCACTTTTAGGAAAATACACAGGAGATCTGGTGGCCTTTGGAATAATGAGTTGAATAGGCTTGGATGTCCCAGACTTTCTATTTCCCTAGCCAGGGGCTGTATATTACTTATATTTACAAATACTATAAAGTCATAATAGCTCCTATTAACGGGAGTTTCACTGGAAGCAGAAGACAGAGATGTGTGCAGACAGTGTACCCGGAGGCACACCCACGCAGAGGTGAGAGGTCAGGGCCAGAGTAGGCAGGCATATGTTGCAGCGTGGGCATGGGGTTCAGTGTTCTGGGGCCCCCTGAGATACATATTCAACACTTCCTGCACTCACCCACCAGAAGGGCAGAGATAAGATTGCAGGTTGGCATCAGTGACCTCTGATGAGCAATGGCTGCTGGGCATGGGCAAGAGACACTGTGCTTCCCAGCCACTGTGTGTGAGGGCTGAGCTGGGTGTCGGTGTCAGAAGCTCCAGAGGCCACAGAAGGTGAGTCTGAGCCTGCTTGGAGCTGCTGAACTCTGTGCAAAGAGGTTGAGTGGGGCAGTGTGAAGTGGGGACACCAGGGACATCTGGGGACTCCTTTACTGGCACTGAGTTCTGCCCTACATCTGCTTGGAGTCAGACCCACACTCCATCTCAAGTGAAGGCCCGAGCTGCCCTCGTGCATGTTTTAGCTTTGGCCTGACGGCTTTGCCATGCGCAGTGAACGCAGCCTTGCATGCTGTGACTGTGACCTTTTGTAACAAGAGGCCCCTGTTCTACCCACCCTGTGAGACAGGTGCCAGCTGTGACCAGCTGAGCTCTGTACCCACTTCCTTGTCCCGTGTGTGACACCCTTTCTGTGGCTATAAATAAGTGCTCATGGGGTGGGCCCAGGACTCTGCACTTCTGGGTCCAGACAGCTTCCCCAGTTCTAGAATTGCAAGCCAAGCCAATTACAATCTGCAAAACTCAAGCTGTGGTCATGTTTTTCTTGGAGCAGCTCTAGTAACCATGCCAAGGGGATACAAAGACTCCTTGAGGAGCCCCGGAGAGGCGCTGCAGACCCCTTGGGGGTTCCCTGCCTTCCTGGAGAGCCAGGGTCCTGGGTGAGTTCCTGTGAGGGTGGGGGTTGGGGGCTCTGCCCTTTTTCCATTGAGTGCCCAGCTTTTTGGCATTGGCCTCGGCCTTCATTTGTGCCAATGGAAGCAGCATCAGGCCCAGGGTATCACTGAACCCGCTAATGAACTCCTAGCACTTATACCCCCTGGGGACTTGGAGATAAAGCCAGCCAGGGCAGTTTCTCCCTGGGATCAGATGGTATCTGAGAGTGGACGGCTTTTCCCCAAACTTCAGAACAAGACTTCCCTCATAATAAAACCCTTACCCTACATATGCTTCCTTTCCACTGCAGGGGGTAATTTTGTAATTAGAATTTCATGATCAGTATCTTCTCTGACGAAGTGTTAGACCTGACATGCCCAACCCAGATTTAGCATGACCCAAGCAATCATTTAGTTCACCCAGCAGTTAACTTTAACAACATCCCTGATGTAACTGTTGTCCAAATTACATTCGTTGTGCAATTTCTAAACCCACATGTTTTCATTTCCTGTTTTAATGTAACCCAGTCATAAGATCTGAGAATCAAGACCAATGAGTATTTTACAAGGTAGGTTTGCACCAAAAACTCAAATAGACTTATGTGCCTAAGCACCATAGTGCTCTCTAACTTCTAATAACCCTGCCTCCCACCCAGCTAGACAGCCTTACTCAGAGGCAGTCTCCTGCCTTGACAGATGGAGGAAGGACGGATACGAGCCAGGAAAGTTAACAGTCTTTTCTATTCAAGAAACACAAGGAGAGTATTGGTCCCCTCCTTTTGATCTGCATGATAGATTAAGGAGAACATTGCCAGGAAGCACCAACACTTCTGGATGGATCTCATTTGCTAGGTCCCTTTTTATGCCTTAAAGTAAAATGAGGCAATGAGTGGAAATTTATCCCTCACAATAGGCTCTGCAGCCAATTCTACTGCAAAGGCTGAGGGTACACAACAGAGGATTATTTAAATCCTCTAATGCAAGTTGTCTTGGATAATAGAATTGATGTAGATTACATGCCGGCCAGACACGGAAGAACCTGTGCAGTTGTCAGTACTTCTTGCCACACATAGATAAATGCACCAGACATTACACACTCAGTTTCAGGTTCAAATGGGCTAATGCTTTGTCTGGCGCGTTCTTTGACCTACTGGATTTTAGTTGGTGTGGTTTATGCGGTCCCGTTCTAAGGAACACACTCCAAACTCTTGGCATTGTCCTCCTGGTAGTTAAAACCGTCTTCATGTATAGATTATCTAAAACATTTTAAAAGTTTACATACAGCCGTCTGTAAACCACTAAAGGATCTCTCCTTGACTGGAATGACAAAACTCAAAGAAATGTGTAATCATGAAGACCATCTCTTATAAACAACACGACAAAGCAGTAGACCCAAAATGGCATCACGGAGACTATAGTGTGAAGGCTCTAATTTTTGTTCAGACCCTTCTCCCAAAATGCAGGATTGTTAAAATTAGGCAGTGCCATTGTTTTGGTCATGCCATTGTTTTACGTTCTTAAATTAGGCTCCAATAAATTAGTCCGAAAGGAAATGGAGTCACCCATGCTAAGTGTCGCACAACCAAACTGAAACTTTTAGGAAGCAGATCAGTTCAGAACAGGACAATTTTCCCCCTAAAAATAGCAGGTTCCAGGCTGAGTCAGGCTAATAAGGAGGTCCCCTCAGCTTTAACCCTTATAAAGCAGTAACCCAGTATTAACCACTCAATATTTTTGCCTATTTTTCTCTTTTCTTGTTCCTAACTTACACAACCCACTGCTCTGCTATTTCCCAGTGGCATTTGAGGCTAAATGAATCCATTTACAGTGGTGACAAAGTGATATCAATGCCAACCCTTCTGCTCAATCTCTCAAACTGGAGGAATTAAGTTTGGGCTTGTGCTGCCTTCACAATGGGCCCCTGTTCTAGCCCTGTTCAAACCAGACAGGTGTGAACTGTCTCCATAGGGCTCTGTCTATACCACACTTGTGTTTTTTGATTGTCACTTTCGTCACTTAGGATGTAAAGGTAACCCACTGTGGTTTGGGGTGGGACATTCTCAGCCCTTCTTATTCCTTATGAACCATTGCAGATTGCTGTCCAATTCTAGAACCACAAAGAAAACCAATTAATATCTTCAAACTTAGATTTATTGTCATTTTCTCCTTTATCAGACTTAAAACAAAGATTAATTTCTGAGGCCATGGGCCCCACTAGACAGGTGGAGTCTGGGGCCAGAGTACAGACTGATCTTCCAGGGCGAATCTATCCACTGTCTCTGGGTTACTCACCTGGTGGGAGGACCCAAAACTCACCCCATAGGCTGGGCGTGGTGCTACATGCCTGTAATCCCAGCACTCAGGAGGCTGAAGCAGAAGGACTGCCATGAGTTCGAGGCCAGCCAGGGCTACATAAGTGAGTTCAAGGCCAGCCTGAACTACACAGTGAGACCCTGTCTCAAAATCAAAACAAAATGAAACAACCGAACCTCATCCCTGAGGACCTGAGTGCTTGGTTGCTTGGCTTTTGTCAAGCAGAATGACTGCAATTTCCCACTCCGTGATTACTAGACACAGCCCACAGAGGTGACCTAGAGAGCAGATCTCCTGCTTTCAGAAACTCCCCACTCTTGCGTGGGGTCGCTTTCTCCACCACAGCTCAAATCCCCTTCTCGGATTGCTGATTCAGAAGCATGAGCAGCCCCAAAGGCTGAGAAGTAATTTTACCTCCTTGGAAACCTACTGTG